TTTTTTTGTTTTTGAATTAAATTAATTAATTTAGAAGTGAAATTGAAGAATTACAAAGAAAATTATTATCAACACATGAACGTTATCATGATGCAATTAAATCAAATACACATGCTATATCAACAATACGTGAATTTCGTGTTAATGATCGTTTTGAATTAAATCGTGATGATGCAACATATAATTTAACAATTGAAAGTGAAATACCAATAGATAATGTTCTTTTACAATGCGATGTTATTTTGGATATACTTGATGTTGAAAAAAATTCTGCTGTTATGAGTTTTAGTGATTGTGATCCAAAAGTAAATTAGATTTCTTGTTTATTTTTTTTTTTTTCATTGATAACAAAATCAAAAATAGGATAACAATGCAGTACTTGTTACTTATCGTTGTCAAGTAAATACAACACGTTTAGAAATGCATGTACGAACAATAGAAGGTCATTATGGAACATTACAATTATATATAACATCAAAAATTCAACCACGATGTTCAATGCTTCGACGACATATAATTAAACCATTATCGTTACATCAAAGAAGTACAATATCAATTGATCCGAATAAGTATTGAGAAAATCAAGTATACTTTTTTTTGTTTTTGAAATAATTGTTTTGCATTTTAGACGAATGAATACAATGAAAATAACTGGTTCATTTAGTTATGCAGAAATTCATTCATGGATACAATTTTGTCTTGCTGATGTTCCTGAACGACCACCAGTTGATAAAGAAAATCGATTAACTTATACAAATATATTTTTACAAACACAACTTGAATGTATATACAGGTATTTAGATTATTTTGAAATATGAATTTTTCAATGTTTAATCTTGATTCGTCTGAGAATTATTGAAATAATGAGATATAAACTAAAAAACGATTTATTAAAATAATAAGATTAACATTCAATTATATCATACTTAGAATGAATTAAAAGTAGTAATGATTTGATGACAAAAATATAGAAGTAAGTTTTCAAGTAATCAAATACTCGAAATAAAAATAATTTTATTCTACTTATATATATTTGTTTCATTGGAATAATTATGATGATATGTTTTTTTGAACATACGTATTTCAGGTTCTATTCATGATGTTTAGTAACATAAGTAGTATTATTTTCAAATAATGATATGGAAAGATAAATCTTTCTTTAACATTTTTAGTATAGAGTATTTTGATGATTTTTCCACTACTATTAGTGTATCTTAAGTAAATATAATGAAATTTTTTATTGTCTTGATATTAATGAGAATAAAATCTTTGCGAAGTTACCATATAGCTAATAAATATGTGCTATAATGATTTTATTGATCATGACAATAGAGGATTATATGAATATTTAAACCATCAAATTAGAATTTAAAAAAATTTATTTTTCTTACTTAGGCAAGACGAAGCTATTTTTCGATCAGAAAATGTTTCAACTATATCAATACTCAAAGATGTAATGAGTAAAAAAGCTACTGAGAAGAAAATAACTTTAAATATCACTTATGGTAATCATTATTAAATTATTCATTTTAGTATTATTAAAAAAAAAAATCTTATTTTTCTAGAATTAAGTAATGAAACAATAGCATCAACACTTAGTCAAATGTTGCCGATGATTGCACATTATAAAACCTTAACAGATAAATATAATTTAATTGAACCATTAAAAGAATTACTTATGGATGGTTCATCTGATGATGTTTTAACACCTGAACATAGACATATACTTAATAATGCTGATTCTATACGTGAACAATATAAGCAGACACCAGTTCATCTTAATCGTTTGTGTAGTAAGTTTAATTTAACATATTTTTTTTTCTGTTTAATAAATAAATTATATATTTAATATAGGTATGGTTGCTGATTTATTTATTGACAAACATAAATTTGAAGGCATAAATGTTAAAGCAAAAATTCCAGCTCTGTTCGATAAACTCAATACATCATTTTCTCAACCACAAGTTTTCATTGACTTTTTTAATTCATTATAAAATATCAATTTTTTATTAGTTATATTATTTCTACAAGATTTATTTATTGTATTTGCTGTTGTGAAATATTTTTAAATTATGTAAAATTTTTAAAATAGGAAAGAACTATTGTGTATTTATCTACAGAAAGAAATACACTTTCTTATGTTTTTTGATCAAAATACTCTATCGTTTGTAAAGCATTATTCTATTGATGCAATCATTTAAGTGATTATCTTATACATTTATAAACAATATGTTTGATGAGTGGTCGATCTGTATGATAAATATAATAAACATGCATACTATTTCGATCGATTGAATTCAAATAACAAAATTATTGTCGATGCCCTGAATAAAGATATAAAAGCTAAAGCAATATTTTTTTTTATGCATAGAAGACTGCAAATAATTGTAAATGTTAAAGAACAATATTTCTGTTCCATTTGGTATATATGATATAACAAACATATGTATAATCAGTGCACGACGTTACATTGAACATACAATATGTGCATCTAGTAAACGTCGATGTTAGTGATGATAAGCTATATACAGTTCACATAAATTGAAAGCATATCCTTGGAGTTTTTGTGTGTAAATTGCCATAACTTGTTTGTTTCTAAACTTATTATATATAGAGAGAAAGCCCAGAACTTACTGCATCTTTTGATATATTTACTTTGAACATCAAATGCAGTTTAAAATGTAAAAAGTGTATTGGGAGACAAAGGGCATTTGTTTTTCTTTTGCAAAATTGAGTGTTCATAATGTTGTAATATTTTTTTTATTTGGGACATATTTCGGCTTAGATAAATGATAAAACTTTGAATTTTTTTTTTCAAAAGATGCGGCGTGAAAAGTTCTACAAAAGTTATATGATTGAATCTGTTTTACCTGTTCAGATAATTTTTTATACTCAAAATGAACAACTTATAGGTAGCAGTATTACTTACCATCATATAGAAAATATTTCGAGAACTTTTCCGAGTCACTATAGAAATTGGTCTATACATGTTTTGTAGAGCTTTCAACGGCGCATATTTTAAAAACAAATTTAATATTACATCATTTTCTCAAATCGAAATACATGCAGAACAAAAAAGTCTTCCAACATTTCCAGTATGATCGGAAGTGATACTGCTATAAAAGTTGTTCATTTTGAGTATAAGAGAAACCATTAAAACAGGTAAAAAGGAATTCAACCATACAGCTTTTGTAGAACTTTTCACGCCACATCTTTTGAAACAAAAATTTTTTAAGGTTTTATCATTTATCTAAGCCGAGATATGCACGAAATAAAAAATGTCACAGCATTGTGGACATCGTATAAATTTAAAAAAAAACGTCCCTCTTCTTCCAATACACTTTACATTTTAAACTGCATTTGATGTTCAAAGTAAATATATCAAAAGATGCAGCAAGTTCTGGGCTTTCTTCCTATATATATAATAAATTTAAAAACAAACAAGTTATGACAATGAAAACACAACAACTCTAAGGGTAAGCTTTCAATTTACGTGGACTGTATATGTACAGTGGCGTTCAAAATTGATCATACACCTAACCGATCACTTTGTTTTTCTCATATTTCAAGACGTTTTCAACAGATTGAGTTGTAATTTTCGTCAAAATCTGGTAGAGACATGCGGGATGAATCAAGAGAGTTTTTTGCATTTTTACCTTTCTAGCTTTATATCTTCGTCATTATAGAAGATAGAAAAAAAATTTTCTTCACAAACAATATAGAGCAAACATTTTTCTTGAACTTTCCATTGTCAGATTTCCAAAATATTATCGGGAATAGACTCTACGCCAGTTTTCCCGAGAGTCCTAAAGCGTTATCGATTCACCCCAAATTGGAGTGAATGAAGAATCGTTCATTGTATAATTGAGCGAATGTATAAAACCAGCTAATGTTAGCATAAACAATAAAATTAAAGTTTCTCAGTCATTTTTTCTTGTTTTTGGCAGAACTGTGTACTACATTGTAAACTAATCATTTCTCTAAGAAGTTCAAGACCAACATAGTAGCAGTCGAATTCAATGTACAATAAACTGATCTGAGGAAAACTAAAGGAACACACTCAAAAGCACAACACATCTTTCATAAATGATAGAAATCTTCTAAATTTTCCTTATTTTCCATTATTCGGTCTTACTAGATTGAAAACTATTTAGCTTCTTTTGTCTTTAATAGCGTCTTTCAGATATTCAAACGTTATCCTTTGAATTTGTCAATTTACTTGATTCTGATTGGTGTTGTCAAAAATACATTCACCATGTTCACAAAAGTAAAAGAAACTTTTCGTGCAGCAGATAAACTCGCCGAAGGACAGATCGAACCTGATCTCATCGATTCCGACTCAGATGACGATCAAGCTACAAATGAAAATCTCGAAAGTGCAGACAATGATGATATGTGATATTATTCTATTTATTCTCGACTTTTTCACTTTGTTTTCTTTCATTTTAATAAAAGATATTGCCTTCTTGAAACATTCATAAGACAATATGTAATACATCATCTAACAATTTACTACAATGCTAAGCAGAAATAAACAGAATATCGAATAGACAAGCTGCCAAGAAGAAAAATTAGAAAGTAGAGTTACTACAAATTAAAATCGATTCTCTTTTTTCCCTCGCAGTCATTGATGTATGTCAATCTTCTCTTAGTCAAGTTAAAAGAAAAGAAACACGATCGACGACTTGCTTAACTATTCATAGCTATAAGAGAGAATAGCCAGAACATAGGATGATATGCTTTGAAAGCTTTTACACTTGAATATAATATTGCCATTAGGTTCAGCACGATCAAAAACATCTATTTGCATGTGTAATTTGCGTTTTTTCAGCATGGAAAAAACGCATATTATTCATTATAGTGCAGAAACCGTAACTCTTTGAAGTTAAAGATCAAATGATGCGAAAATTTTATAGTGAATAGAGCAAGTGCTGAGCTACATTCTGGTGTAAATTGAGTCTATGTTGCTATGGAAGTAATGTATCGAAAAACATATCCGTTTGCAGCAAAGAGACATAGAAAACTTTTTCAATCACAATGGGTCGCATACAGCCAGACGCTGCCAGCATCACTCTATCAATAGCTAAAATTCGAACTCAATAGCTATCAATGGTCAAGAGTTATTCAAAAAATGGCGGGTGGCATCTCAAAAAAAAAACAAATTCGTCAATAGTAAAATACATTTTATTCCAGTAAACATGGTTATCATATTGAATAGAATAGCATACAACTCGTTTACGATTACTATGTAGCAAAACGTTCAATATTTCATATATGCATGCATTTTCTTTTTGTTTATGTTGAACAATTAAGGTTCTTTGTAGTGTCTCAGAAACGAGTTGAAATAGCGCAACGACTA